TCCAATTTGATTAAGACTAACAATCAATTACTAAGCATATGATATCCGTTCTGTATATGCCACATGCATTTGTCGAATATATATTAACTGAAAATATTACTCTCTTTTGACTTGGCTAGAGTTTCTAATTGAATTATGTAGCTCATAATTAATAATGTTGTATTGCTTGTCATAAAACGAGTTTCAATTAGCTCATATACTGATGAGTTGATAATTTGTGATGAAAACTCTAATGCAGCAATTTTATGTTTGAGAATATTAGGAACTTATAATTTATCGTACGTTTCGAGCTTTGAACATAATCAAAAAATTAGGATTTCAATGTGAAAATTGAGACTTTAAATCAATAAAATCAACCTGTATTTTCTCGATATTCTAATGTTTGCACCAACACATGATTTTGATTCATATGATGTCAATGTTATGCGGATTCTTACTTTAATCAAAGAAACTCTTTTTCATACAATTAAATCCATAGCGAATACTTTTTTGAAGTAATTCAGCAGATCAAAAGATAAATGGAAGCTCCAAACGGACTAAATGTCTTTCACGCGTACTATGAAACAATAAAAAATATAAATTCATGAGAATATAAATAATTATCAGAACCAGTCCCAAAAAAAAGATTAATCTACTTTGAGCATTTATAGCTGTTTTCGTTGGAAAAGATGATCATAAACATTTCTCACTATCTTTTACGAAGAAGAAAATGACTTATATAATCGTTTCAGAGACTATTTAATGTGAATAACGCTTGGAAACGCTGGCTAGACGTAAAAACGGCAAGAAAAGTGATGATCACGTTTTTTCTTGCCGTTTATCACCGTTTCCTAATAGAACTAGTGATTATGACAGTTTAAACGGCATTTTCAGCGTTTCACTTCTTCCTGGGGTATTCATATTGAAAAAGTACTGAGAGAAGATCGGTGTTGTCTTCACTCTTCTCGTTTTGTAGACTTGCATCAATAAAAATGACTCTACGGCATGTCTCGTGCTCTTTTATGACTTACACAAGATAAGATAACGAATGTTAGCACAGTCTTCTTGTTACAACATTGATATACACTCATATAAAAATCTCGACGACATTGTTTGCGACTTTGTGCTATTGTATATTCTTTGCAGAATGATGTGTGATCGTATGACATGTTATTGATAATTTAAAAGCAAACTTTGGATGTATAGTTAAGTGTGTGTGAGTATAGAATGTTAATATTTACAACTATCGCAATCCATTGAATCGAAGTCAAAACATGTGTATAGTTTGTGATGCGCGATGAAAGTTATCAAATATGAGACACTACTGTTCGAAATGTACACTAAAGATGTAACTATAATGAACTACAAGAAAATAGATTTATATAACATTTGTCTTTTTGTGTTCATACTGATTTGTTTTGACGAAATGTCTATTTCTGATTAACGATAGGTCAGTTGGTGTGGTATGTTGTTAGAGAGAAGAACAACACCCACTCATGTCACGAGTTTCAGCAATGTCTTTCTGCTATATTATAGAAAATTCTTATAAATCTTATGGAAAGTCCAAAATCACTTTGTATTTGTCCTGAAACATATTAAAATGAATTTCTGAATGTTTCATATTATCTGAAGCTCTGTTTAGAACATAAACGTCTCGATATTCATAGTATGAATTGCAATCTTTGTTAGCTCTTACTACAAAAATTATTATTCACTTCCATTAACATAATCTGTCTCGGACGAAAAAACAGAAAAATTGTGCAAATTGGCGTATTTTTACGAAAAAGAAAAACATCAAGATATGACACGAATCATTTTACATTCGCGGGCTAAATTTTTTTCCTCCTTTACCTTTTTATGTTGCCATACTTAGCATCAAAATTTATAACTGAATAAAGATATGATATGAGACTTTTATTACAGTGTGATCTGTACACCAAAATAAAATAAAACATTTATGTCATATCTCTACTCAGTAATAAAATTAATGCAAAGTATGACAGCTTAAAAAGACAAACACTAGAAAGATGTTTATTCGGAGGTGCACATCCTACAAGGGAACGCATGCATGATTTTCTCATATATTTAATTTCTAAGGAAGAGTCAAATGACTGACTTTACAATAAATTGGTCAATATAAAACCTGCAGTTGATGTAGATTTGCTGTTTATTCATCTATTCAAACCTTGATGCACAGAATTGTCCATAACATTTTGTTAATGAGGTACAAGTTAAACCCGAAAAAATATAAAAGTGAACTTTAGATTAAATGAAAACTGATCGAAAACTGGATTTCAGACTATGACTGATACTTCATAAGTTAATAAGAGGCTGTAGAAGTACGGAAAGTTTCAAAATTTCAGAAATATACTTGAACACTTTCCTGGGTAGTCAACCACGAAAACAGCGGGAATTCAAAAAAGCTTTTCGTCTGTGATACTTTGTAGAGTTTTCTTTGTTGATCATTTTAGTGAAAAGTTTTAAAAGTTTAATAAATATATGACGGTATTAGGATCAAGTTACTGAAGAGCGTCATAGCTCTAGCCAATAGACTTGCTTTGGGTTTTAAAGTGTTTTGACTCTAGCACCGTTATTTATTTATTAAATATTAAAGTTTTTCACTAAAATGATCAACAAAGATAACTCTACCAAGTATCGTAGGAAAGAAGGTTTTCTGATTTCCCGCTGTTTTTGTGGTTGAACACTCAGGGAAGTGTTCAAGTATATTTCTGAAATGTGGAAACTTTCCGGAAGTCTACAGGCTCTTATCAACTTGTGAAGTGTCAGTCATACTCTGAAATCCAGTTTTCATTTAGTATAAAATTCACTTTCATATCTCTTCGAGTTTCACTTATACTCCTCAAGTAAAACGTTATGTCCAACCTTGTATATGGAAAAGAAGTCGAAAAATGTATCGCCTTATGTCTTTTGGTCAATGAGTAAAAAAGCAAAAAATGAAATATTAATGTGGGTATTGATGCATTCACTTTGATCATGTTCGCTAACACTTACAGCTAGCCACCTACACGCACACCTAATCAACTACATCTAAACATTACTAAAATAAATATTCCTTTTCGTACTTCACTCAAAATCAAGGTTGGTGAATGACTATAAACTATTTTCTGTTGCAGTATTTGCTCTTCGTGTCTTTGCCAACTTCAATCTTTCATTTTTGATAAGAACACTGACGCTTAAAATATTTGATCGTTGCATTAGAACTATACAAAGCGATAAGGAAGAAACAAAGTGTAGATAAGAGACGTGAATGACGTTATCTATTAAAAATAACTAACGAATAATTTGAGAAAAAAACAAAGATTTTTGTACACATAATATTTTCTGAATCGACTGTAATACATTACAGAAATTTTCAATACTATTGCACTAAATTTTTTGGGCACTGATAAGTGAACTGTTAGAATAATCTGAAAAAAGAAAATATAGTTTTTAAAAAGTGAGATATAAGTAGAAAACAAATATGATCTAAATATTTGTAAGAATTTAATTTTTATGAACAGTATCGTTCTTGTTGATCTATTGATAAATGCATATCAATTGGTAGTTCTCATGATAAAGTTTCTCATGTGTGTCACATAATTGCATATTTTTGATCCATCTGCAGTGTGGATGTGGGTGTGTGGGTGTGGGTATGTGTGTGGGTGTGAGTGTGGATGTGGGTGGGTTAACGAGAAGAGGACCCCTACACCCACGCCCACACCCACACCTACATCCCACCCAATTTTCTTTGACGCATGGATCACTCATCGTAATGTTAGGTGACGTGCAACAATATTGGAAACATTCAGTGCCAAAAGACAAGAGGGTTCAGGCTCCTCGCATCAACCTCACATTTCGCATCAAAAGAGACAAATGAAGGTGGAAGGAAAATTTTTTGAGTTTGTTTGTTTTTAATTCAATAAAGCATTTTTTAAAAATAATCTTGAATTTAGTAATATAAATAAATTGATTAATCACTCGTCGATTTATGCTTTATTTTATTTCTAAAGTCAAATTTATATATTTTATTAAAAATCAATCTCTAAAAGAGTAAGTCTGTAACCGAATTTCAAAAGTTGCGTGTTCTTACGGACGAATAAATACAGATTTAATGAAATAACGATGATTTCATACATGTCCTAAAGATTAGCTGTTGTCACGACTTCAATGAAGTTCATAGAAGCTCGCAATTCTTCCATGAGATCATCTTCAGATCCCTTAAATTGACTTTTGACTCTGTGTATCATGATCTAAACTATCCCTAACTTCTTTTACTGTGGAATAGTTTCGAAGCATATTCTTGAAATTAAACTAGAAGATGCGAGTAAATGGATATGGATGTAATCCTTTCATCACATCGATACCTATGCCCACATCCATTCAAGATTTCCTTTAAAATTTTAACTTTTCGCTTTTTAGTGAGATGTGTTGAATTACATATCTGACTTTTGAAAAGTCTACCCATGATTTTATTAATATATCTAATAAAAAGACGATATCGTGTTTTTCACAAAAGACCAAAATTTGTTTTTTTTTTTTGTTCAACACCAAAAGTAACGATACATCCACTAGCATCAACTGTAAGAAGAACAAATTGAAATTTTTCGTCATTATCGCGTGAAAAATGAATTTCTACAATTTTATGCTATTAATATTGTCTATATGGTGTTAAATATAATAAAATGTGAATCATAAAAAACAAACTCAGTTTTTGTTTTTTGTACAAGCTCAAATGTGATAGAAAAAAGAAAAAAAAGAGATAAGAACGAGGGAGAGAGTAGCAGATAAACACATGGTCGACTTTACATAGATGAAAATTAGAGAGATGTCAATTTGATTAGCTGGTTCATTATCGTTTAAGAATGCATAAACATGTCAGATGTAAATGTTCGAATATTTGTGCTAAATAAAGACAAGTGCTTGCTAAAATACAGTAAGATATTATATTGAAATTAATAAAGAATGACAACGAAAGCAAAGACAAATGTTAGTCTATCAAAGGGCAATAACTACGACGGATGTTATATTGGAAGAGTGATAAGGACTTTTGAATTTTTATCACCATGAATCATAATAGAAGAACCAACGAAATAACTATCGTCTAATCCAGCTTCATAAAGACCAATTAAAATCTTACGTTGAATAAGCGCATCGCAATAATCATTTGTCGTAAAATCAATTAACTCAACATCATGTCGACCAGGAAAGATTTTACGAGCAGTGGACAGCATAAGTTTAAATTTATGTTCAGCGCAGCCACCAGTATATCCAACATTTATTTCAATATTTTTTGTCTCAGCATTGTACCGACCATCTATAATGTAAGGTTTATTTTCTGTGAATACGGTTGTAATAAATGTTAATAGAACAGTCATAGTCAAAATTGATTTCATGTCAAATGTTTGTTGTAGTAGCTGAACCATAAATATTATTTATGTACTTCTAAAAATTATAAATGTGATATATTATGAAAATAAAAAGGACAGTTTTCTGAACCTAAAATATTTCTATTATTTGTGTTGAAATAAAAACAAATACGATTTCTGATTTCATTTCAACGCAAGAAATTGAAATATTTTAACAGCATAAAAATGGCCTCCAAAATGGGTAATTCTACAATCTTAACTGTCAAAACATGCTATATATAAATGTAAACTATACTGTTCGATAACTTCAGTTGTGTCTATATCACATCGAACAAAAGGACAAATGAAAGACAGTAAAAAAAAAAAGAAGAATGAGTCGAAAGGATAAATGACCGCATTGTATCAAAGTGATATGTTTATCAATACATCGTTTCACCTCGTTTAAGTGCACTTCAATGTGTCTGTATATTGCCAAAAAAAGATCAAGAGACAGATTAAAAAAACACATTAATCTCACAGCGCACATATGACAAAACGAAATCACTGAGTTCACAATCATCAATAAAAGACATGTAGAGTTTAACGCATTTTCACATTAGCTCATTAAAAACTCTCCAGTCAAAAAGTGACTTGATTTATCCATTACAAATATGAATTTTTTTTGATTATGCAGATTTATTTTGTGATTTTTTACAATGTTTTTCCGAATACTTACGAAAGACAAGATGACGATAATATACAGAGAACACAAAAACAAACAGAAACAGAAACATATACACAAGGAACGGAAAATAATTGAATTGATTTGCTTGCTTTCGTTCTCCGTTTCCACCAACTACAATAGAACCTTATTTAGATCCTTTAAGTCTCTATTACTGGTAAAAATTTCAGCTCTTTGGTGTCGACATCTAAGAGAAATATTGAAATTTCTTATCGGGTTTTTTTTTTATGGGACACCTTGTATATATGTAGTCATCAGTTCAATAACATTAGTTTCTTATGACAAAAAAATTATATTGAAAATATATGTGAGGTACCTACGATTTTGGGATACCCTATAGCAAAAGTTGCCCATACTCGTTTATGAACTGGTTCCAGAGTACCTATTCTTGGGAGTGTAGGGTGAGGCTGTATGTGTTGGTAGGTGTCTTCTTTCCATCTGTATCCTCACCCACAATCTTAACCATTCAACACCTTCGCCCATCCTATCCAGGTTTTTTACTCAGAGAAGACAGAATCAGTTGCCGAATGGGTTACACCATCGCTATCCTCACACAAGATAAACTACTATATGTTTATCTTGATTTTTCAGAAATTTATTTTGCTTTTTCTGGAAGGGCAAAAACAATCTTTGGGAGAGTGATGTCATCGTTGCATTCCTATTGGATAAAACACTACATTGAGTTACTTTCACAAAGACGAAGACGACACAATTATAAGATATTCATTTTCATTATTCACAATTTTGGAAGGATTTATGTTATTTCGTCCTATATTGATTTATATCTTAAACTCTTGACGATTAAATCTCCTGAAATAAGGTTACATACCATCACCATCATTATATTTGTTTACCTATGATAAGAAACCTCTCCAAGTTACTCTTATCATTTTGCTGGTAAACTAAAACAAATGTGAAAAAAAAAGAACGTCATTACTCTCTGAAATAACTATTAAAATGGCTGAAGTAACATGTTTTGATCGTTTATCAACTGAAATAATTCTCGAGATATTTAATTATTTATTGTCCAATGATTTAATGTTTTCATTTCTTTCTCTTAATAAACGATTGAACGATACTTTATTCTATCATGATCGTTTGCTAAATAATATCCAAATACCAACAAGAAATTTGGATTTTTCAAATAATATTTTTCAACTAATCGGATCAAAAATCCAACATTTAACTTTAACGACGAAGGATTTAAAAATTCTTTGGAATTTATTGTCAAATTTAAGATCTTTAACAATTTCTTCGTCAATTTCATTAAATTGCGATCATTTTTATCTTATATTGAATAGGAAACAATTCTGTAATTTAGAATCATTTGAAATGAAAAGTAAAATTTATTCTGAAGAAGTATATCATTCGAATGACCATATAGTCAAAGGAACTGCATTTATACCAATATTTTATCCATTTAACAAATTAAAATCTTTCCAATATTTATCAACAATATCACCTTTTCAAACAGTTGATGATATTTCTGGTATGGATATTAGTCAACATTTGGAAAGATTATCATTGAACTTATGGGAATTTGAAACGGTCTATTTTATTCTTCAATATTGTCCAAATTTAAAAGAGTTGGATTTGATCGTGACGATAATTGATCCAGTTAAAGTGAATGAGGAATTGGATTTATCTAATATTCCTCTGCAAAAGTTTTCCTTAACAATGAATGACATTCGTTGCTCTTCGCTAATGACTCGAGCACGTTATCTTTATATAACAAAGTTTTTGAAACATTAATATCTTTATCGTTGAATTTCTGTGGTGAACATATTATTAGTGATAGTACGTTCATCTTAAATGGTACTCAGTTTCAAGACAAATTGCTAAAATCAATGGAAACACTCAAAAACTTTCATTTCTATATGTCATGTCAGTTGAGAAGACGAAAAAATCTTGCCTATCTTTTGCCAACATTTGCAAATTCATTTTGGCTTGATCATAATTGGACTGTTGCAACTCATGAGAATTATCTTTATACATTACCATTTCATTTTCCACATTTCTATGGCTTTACTCATTTTTGATCGGATCAAATCAAATAATCTCAACATTTTTCAAATCAATTCTCGACTGTGGTATAAGATTAAAACAATTGAATTTTCCAGATCATATCAAGTTAATCCGGATTTAATTGAACAAATTCGAAGAAAAATGCCAAACTTAACGACAATCATCTTCAATATAACACAATGGAATGATCAGGAGAATATCAAAGATGAAGACTATAGAAATGTTTCATTGCCTGGTGTCAACACTATTCATTTTAATGACATATCTTTGAATCATATTCAACCGTGAATTACTTATGTCTTACCAAATTTAAAACATTTATTTTCCGATGAGAAAATCTTACCCAAGGCAAACACTGAATTAGTTGGTTTGCTCAATCAAAAACTTGAAACTCTTCACATGGTCATATCACATGAGAATATAATCGAACCAACTGATTTCTATCTATTTGATGTGAAAGATATAACACTAACCGTTCTTCTACACTTCACAGCTAATGAAAATCTTCTCCAACAGATACTGAAAACTTTCACAAACTTCAATATTTTAACTGTTCATTTTAAATGTTATTCCAAACATAATGATCGGAAACTATGGGGCAATATCAAGCAATTGATTAAAAAATTAGATGTGAATGAAATCAACAAAAACTATCAAATGAAATATTTTTTTTCATTCGATTCAATTTTCAAGAAACACCCGTGTGTTTCTCAAACGCAAATGTTCGAAGATCGAACATGTTTAGTATTTTATTATATTATTAAAATTTTCTACACATTGTTTGTATTCGATTTATTCATTCTTTCATTTTTTACAGTATTAATCTTGAGTATAAAAGAATTAAAACGTACAGATATGTTAAACTCATCATATTGCACACTAATCCTTCCGAAAACTCTGGTTTCTGAGATGTGTTTGTGGCAGACTATGAAGCAGTTCAAATTTCTACCCTTATACTTAGTTTGTGTTTCATAAAAGAAAGATACATGCCTGTTGGTTTAATGCATTTAGATTTATTGGTAGTGTAAGTTGATTCGATAAATCCGTTTTGTATGTCACCGACGACAGAGCAGAGCCTAATAAAATAATTGGTGAGTAAAATGATTTGAGGAAAAAAATGAAATTACCTTGCTTAAAAGTAGGAGAAACCGCGTTATTCCCGATGTAAGTCGGAATTAGTGAAACAATAATCACAAATGCGACACCAAAAAGAATCACCAAAGCGACGCAAATACTAGATATTGGTGCAGATATTGCATTACACATCTAAAAAGGATATTATGGTATCACAAAGACAAATATTCTCATTCGAAACTTTTACATTATCCGATGAGAATATGTCTGAAGGGATCACGCTTTATTACTGTTCACATTTCAATAAATACAATACGAGAGAGCAACAGTGAACTTTAAAATTTCATATGATTTAAAAATATTTGAGAGAATTTCATGGGCGTCAACAGCCCTAATGAGACTGCCCGAGAGTTGAAGAATCATACGTTCTGTTGATTTCCCCATGATACACCGACATTTAACAATCGCAATAAAATCAATGATTTTCATTACATGACGAATTCGAGAACAACAAATTCGTATTGCTTACTTTTACAATAATGTCGCAATTAAAGCATCTCATGTTTTCTTTGTTACTAGTCTATGAATCTTTGCCATAAAAATGACTTCAAACCTCTGTGAGAAAACAATTTTGTTGTATGTCAACAATAATAAGCTAACTCTTTAAAGTAACTATCATGCTTCTTAAAAGCAAACGTCCAGTATGTAAAGGAATTTGATTGTGCTTCTATTTTTATTGCATAGAATCATACTTGTTCGCATTGTTTACTCTCACTAGTTCTCGACAACAAAATCACTTTATTTTGAGGCAAGGCGCAGCATTAGGTTTAATATTCATCACATATATCAAAATATTGAAAAACAGAATTTAGTAATACATTTACCATAAGTTTAAGGGGGCCCCCCTCAGAAAGAAACTTTTTTATTTTTCATCCGATTTCAACCAAAATTTCAGGGAATGTTAGTCTTGGCTAGAATAGATTATGGTTAAAATATCTCCCCAAATCTCAAAGATATGCACAAGTTCTAGTCGATTCATTAGTCAAAAACACCATTTACGCGGGAAGGTTTTCAATATAAGGATTCGAGCTTAGCATGTCGGGGTGGTTTTTAAATTGTAGAGTACACTTAGGGCTAGATCCTAATAGAGCCCGATTTTTTAATTTCTCTTTTGCTGAAATATAAAACTTAAATCTTTGATTCTAATTAGCGATTTTTTGACCACAAATTTGGGAATTTTTCGAAAACGTTTTTTTAAAAATCAAACAAAGAGAAATTAAAAAATTGGGCTCTATTAGGTTCTAGCCCTAAGTGTACTCTACAATTTAAAAACCACCCCGACATGCTAAGCGCGGATCTTTTTATTGAAAACCTTCCCCGCGTAAAGAATGTTCTTGACCAATGAATTGACTGGAACTTATGCATAACTTTGAGATTTGGGAGAGATATTTTAACCATAATCTATTCTAGCCAAGACTAACATTTGCTGAAATTTTGGTTGAAATCGGATGAAAAATAAAAAAAGTTTGTTTGTGAGGGGAGGGCTATCAAAAAATTTGTTTCCGAGGGGGCCCCCCTTAATAGAGTGAGAGAGAATTTCTTACCCAAATATCGGTGATGCACTAGTGTCTTCTTGTCCATTGCTTTGTTTGGAATCAGAATCACCAATAAAAAACATTTCAAATATTCGTTAATGATCGTAGTAATATCTGGAAAAGGAAAAAGAATCAAATGACAAAAGAATATCATGTGAAATAGTCAAAAAATCAAAGAGGCACTCATCATCAATCCATCAATAACTAGTCCCATGACTCTCAATTGTTGAGAATATTGTGTACAGTAGTAAATGCAATCTGATCATGATATATAACGATTAGAATTCAACAACAAACTGTCTAGTTCATTTTGCTAATTGATTCTAAAGAATTCAGGAAACTAGCTTCCTACGATAATGCAAATATCTCTTATATGAACGTTATGCATTTTGAAAAAATAAATAGAATGAAAGAGAATGATTTTCAGGTAAAAATACCTATTCGCACATAATAAAGAAGAGAAGGTGTGACATCTATATGTGTCATCTTCGTCAATTTGTATGAAAAAAAGACGAATAACAAAACACGGCATGTAGAAAGGCAAAAACTACTTACTTTGTTTGCATGCTTCAATACTCACTTATGTGTATCTGTCGATTCTTGATAGAAAAACAGATCAATTGTCGAAATGCAGTCAGAGTTGAAGTGTTTCAGATTAAATTTCCAGGTTTTGTCCAATGAATTCAATTCGGCATTTATTGCAACTAATTATAAGACAAATACAACATTGCGAGAGAATATTAGCGAAAATCATTACCCAAATGCGAACAAATCCTCAGTCCTTCCTTGCAGACTCGTACAAAAAAATAACATCGTTTGACAAAGAATCTATTTTTATAGGTAGAACAAGCAATAATAATACAAAATTGATTCCCAATAATATTTTATAGACAAATTATCAGAATGACTTTCATGTATTATTTGATCTATTTTATTGTAAAACAGGGCAATTTTTTATCGCCTTCCTTGACATTCTTTATTTTTCATAAGGAGAGCAAGATTTGTCATGTAGTAAACAGATTATTTCTGAAAAAGTATATCATAGTTGCGACACTAACTTTGAGATTTGATGTCTTCTTTCAGTTTCTAGAAAAGTGATTTGATCAACAAGTTATACGTAGAGGACCCGTCCAGGTGTCAAATCATAAAATTTATAGAAATAATTAGCATAATAACTATAAAAACTATAATGGTGATAAATAGCACTGTAACCACAACATCAGGGAGAACAGAAAGAATAGAAATAAGCATGGAAAAAGATATTTACTGACACATAACAGAAATTGTTTGAGAAATAATAATAATAATAGAGACAGTAAATGTAGTTGATTTAAAAATCAACCAAAAAGAAAATTAAAAAGTTTCTAAAAGAAATGTTTTGTAACAGAAAAAAAATTTGTGTCAAGCTTAGCAATGACACTGCAAATATAGAATATATGCTATTAAAGGTTAAATAGAATATAAATACAAACAAATGAAGAATGATCAAGGTAGAGAACGAGCCAATGATTTATTTGTTATCAGATGGTGAATACATAAAATATAACTATAAAATCAGAAACAGGGAGAATAATGAGTCCATGATGCATGCAGGATAATAATAATAGGGGATAAGAAAGGGAAAATGGTGACTTAGCGAAACGGGTAAATAAACTAAATCAATAAATAAATGGGCAATGAACAAAATAGTCAATATAGATTATTAGTTATAATTGTGCCACGTCAAAATGAGGAAAGAATCAATTCTCATGTTGCATTTTAAAAAATGTCCCACAGTATATGTTGATACCTATATTTTCCGCTCGAAAAACGAAGTTTTTTCTTGAATGTTTAGAAAAAAAACATGATAGGCAGGCGGCCTATCTGACCAGGACAAGCTTTAAAATCCAGGACTGTATTGGTCTTACGTAGGCTCGATGGCCTGTTTGGATCTCTAATGGATATAACCAAGTAAGGAGAATTTAGGAATTTATTGAGTAACAGAAAACTGCTTTTTAAGGTGGAAACTATTAACACCAAAACTTGAGGCTGATGACACCTCAAAGGGCGCCGACGATA